GTGAGGTGAGAGGGAATGTCAGACTCTTACTGACTAAAAACCACCCCGTTCCTTCTCCTGCGCTTCGAGCTTCGGCTCAGGTAACCCGTTAGATTCGCCGCGGCTCAGGTAACCTGGTAGGTTCTCCGCGGCTCAGGTAACCCGTAAGGTTCGCCGCGGCTCAGGTAAGATGGCTAAGCGTAATTCTATTAGCGTATTATTTCAAGCTGTGGTCATAGTTGGTGTAAAACTGCCTACCTTAGCAGAAAAGAAAACAAAGAACTTAAGTCTTTTTTATGGATTAGGAGGCAAAAGAGCAGACGAAATGATTAGAACGAAGCATATACTGATATAATAAAATATTTCTGTTGAATGAAGTCATTAGATGTTAAGGTACTAAAAATTAAAAGACAATGTCGGCACATGTGATTTTGATTACGACACAGATATACACTGAGTGGGTGACCCTTTTAGCATAGGCATATTGTCAGCGTCTCTCTTCTATTTGTTTTGTTTTAATTTGATAACTTAATGTTTTTCTTACTTCTTATGCTGCATCGTGTTTGGTGCTGAATAATTTTTTATTCTTTCTTTCTATATATTTAATTTTTAAAAGGTAAAAGAGATACCATTCATCCAAAATAACCATACGCCATTCAATGTAAAAGTTAACAGTATATCTTTTTATCAACATAACTTTTTAATAAGCGTTTATTATTCAATTAATTAAGCAAACAAGCTACGTAGGTGTTAAAATAAGATAGCAGGTGCAAAACAATTAATTAACATATATGAGCCACTGTCCCTCGGCGTCCCAGTCATATGCATCGCTTTTACGATCACTAACAAGTAAAATGTCATATAATAAGTCACACATTACGTTTTGAAATTAATTAAATGATATGACACGACTTTAAGTTTTATGTTTTTGAAATTCAGAGGTTAAGTGGTGTCTTTTATATGATGGCATGGGTTTGGACCTTTATAGAAAACCATGAAGAAAACTGGGCTTACAATTTCTAAATATAGGTTTGAAATCACAGATCCACCTAGGGCAAGCGTGATGATTAACTACTTGAACGCCGGTACTTCAGATACAATAGAATATTCATATATTGTGTCTCACAATGATCCCCGTTTAAGCACACGACGGGTTAATACATATTCATTCACCGCGTGAGAAGAAGCCAATCCTCAGCAGTGGGTACGCATAGGCTGATAATGTAAATAAAGCCACTTTCTCAGTTTATTGCACCTTTATATTCACTCAATTTGACTAGCGTTTAGCGTTTCTAGACAAATGGCATACCATTTGTCTAGTTTAGAGGTTGATTCAAAACCTTTTTCAGACAGAGCAAAACGTTTTTTGTAAACTAGGTAAAAAAATCTCGGGATCACAAAACAGAATTTTTCAGTACGGTACTAGAAAAAGCTGGAAATGTGCCAGTTAGAAGCCTATGGACTCGCACGTACAAAAGTTCACTACGTTATGGCTTTGTCAACACTTTATTATTTATGAAACTACTTTATAAATTGTGTGTATAAACCATTTTTTAAGTAGGTCTTTGTAGTTGTTTTATAGGACGACTAAAATGTTCAGGAGGTCACTATCAAAACTATACACATAGCTGAATTTTCTTTATAAATAACATATTGAAGTGAATAGAAAACATTGTGGTGTTAAAGATGTCTAACAAAATATTATGCTACAATGACACAAACCAATACAAAATCTTCTTTAACACACAAACAAAATCACAATAAGTCGGCACTTAAATTTAAACTACTCAATTATACGCATTAAATAATACGCATCTATCTTTCAACGGCAGTTTAACTGTCATTGCCACTACTACTTAACCAGCATAACACGTCGCGGAGAACCTAACGGGTAACCGGGACTCCGGCTCGACGTGCAGGAGACGAAACAGGGTGGTTTTTAGTCAGTAAGAGTCTGATCTCCCTGCCGCCTCACCCAGGCGGGAGCAGTCATTCGATGATATTCCCCACTTAAAAAAATACGAAAACCAGCGTAAATATGTCAAACAGACATTCCACGTTTACATCTCAGTCGTTTCAAAACCATGGACGGTCCATAACGCGACACTACACCAAGAAAAATGGCATCCATAGAAACATTACAAGCCAAAACCTTCCAGTTGTCACAACAAGCAAATATAAATAATCACTTCTTTCATATGATGGATAACTGATCTAATTATTTCTACATCGTAATCAGTATACGATTGATGACTCCGCCCATCCTTCTGGCCTTGTCTTTTTTTCCTCTTGGCCCTTTCCCAACTAGGTTAGGGTCGGCTTTGAGCCTGACCAGATTTAGTTGAATATTTGCACAACCAGTTAATATGATACTACGTACTCTGAACTTTTCTGAATTTTTGGATATTTGAGACTTTGACTTGCTCTAAGGACATTCTCAAAAGTCAGTGTGACTACTGAAATCGACTTTATTTCCTTCATTTCATAATATAACTTAAAATACATTTCGGGATATGAATGATGACACCCACATATTTTTCTCGCCTGCATTTTACTTTGTATTAGGGGGTGGTAAAATCTAGAAATCGCCACGTAGTACAAACCTTGCAAACTTCTTTTCTTCCTATTGTATTTATTTATCTGGTCATGCAAGCGATAAAGAATGCATAAATGAAATTGACATAATATATTATTTTAAGCCAAGCCAGTAATTATACTTTACCCGTCGACATCATATCCTAGTCCTTGGCTGTACCTAAGTTACCAGCTTCGTCCGACCTCGTCTACCATTTCATAATGTTTATTCACTTGTTGCTTCCGCTAGTAGACCATAAATAAAGAGTAAATAATGTAAACAAGAACATAACAAACTCGCAACGCTGTAATCTTGGCGTATAAATCACAATAAATATGTTCAGTATCGCGTTCTAAATGATACATGGCACCACTGGCGACGACTTTAAGTTTTATGAAAAATTGTGACGTTTTTATTGTGTTTGTTTAGTGATTAATAATTTCTAAACAATATTATAGGAAGGAAGTTATTCATACCAAAAAGGATTTTTAAAATAGTTCCAAAATATTAACTTGCAAGCACCTAGAATTTCGTCAGTTTCATTGTTAAAAGAGTTAAGCAAGTAGGTAAAAAGTAAATAGCCCAACATCTAATTACTCCAATCGACTAAACCTTCATCATCATTACAATTTCCTTATGCTTCCAACCAATGAATTCCAAATCCGCCTGTTGGAAGCAAGTTACTACTACTACTACAACTACAACTTGAACCCCTAAATAATCATATCTAAATAAAAATATAATTTATAATAATCATAAAAGAGATGTAACATTTTAGTCGCCACTCTATTTTTAGTACCCAGATAGCTAATAAAATGTCACTTCGCATAGTGGGTTCATGTTACAACACTAAGTTTGAATGTCTGCCTTCACGCGCTACATACCATAATAATAAACTTAGGGCATTGTTCTTATTAAATTAACTATTAAATAAGGGTCTTGGAATAAAAAATTGGTTTTATTATGTTATTTGTAAGATAGGTGTGTACATAATTTGCAGGTAAATAAGAAAGAAATAAATTACTTGTCATCTTTACCTCCTTGTTTCCGTAAGGATTTATTGCGGAGGTATTTTTTTATTCAGTTAGAAGATACTGAATTCAAACATATTCTAATTATTTATTGTCTCACACAAACATATTCCCGTTACAGCAAAATGTTTCTGAAGACGCGTCGCGGTCTTCGTGCGTGTGTTATATGGGCGAATTTGCGTGAACAACATATTCAATAATGTATAATGGTAACCGAGCAGGCAAGAAAGCCCGTAAGTATTTATCTTGTACCTACAAACGTTTTACGAATAAACTACTTTTACGACATACTTTGCGTATTTTAAATGCAAAGTTGAACACCTCCTTTTACGTAGGTGGATAATTTTTATACGTACTTTAAGTCGGGGAACAGAAGGCTGTTCACCTAATGGAAAGTTATTTCAGTATGAGTTTACTTGGCTTGGACATTTTCTTCTTAGATTTTTCCAAGCACACGGTGTAAGTTAGGATTAGTATTGAGCTAAGCACGATTCACTAGACAAACAATATCACGCTTATTTTGCTTTAAAGTACCAATTAAGTAGGTCATTACCTAAGTATGACGCTGGGGGTGGCATAACATTTCCTACATGTTTTTCATATTGGGTATCATATATGACGATATCCTCGAAATAATGCTTTGTTTAGTTTATTTATAAAATAACAAAGGATATACTGATTACTACTGATTGGACACAATTAATGGTATACAGTGAGTTTAGTTAGTTGTGTTGCGATCCCCGCGACTTCCCTCTGAATCCCCTTTGTCTCATTTGACGCTTGACACCTACCTGGTTGACACTCTGTCATTGTCCTCCCTCAAAATTTCGCATCACAACTAAAGACACTCAAACAATAATTAAATCGACTAAAAAATGTTCACACTAATTGCTTGACATTCCATCATCTACACCTCCATAGACAGGTACTATGCAACAAATATGTCATTAATAGAGTTTTCCATGTCACAAAATAAGTATTGCTCTCAATAAAATCTTGGTCAACAGTCAGATTGAAAAGTGAATTAAGGGTCAATGCATGTCACTTTATAGTTAGAAAGCTCCTTCTAAAGCATTGATTTTAGATCAGTACCACAGAGTTTTCATTTGAAATGAAATCAGTGAAATACAAATGTGACATTACTAGCACAACTTTTATTATACTAACTTCAGAAAAGAAAAGTTGAATAATATTGTCAATATTCGTCATGTAAGACCAGTGAACCGGTCTATTTATTCAACTGACGAGCAGAAATGAAGCGCGTTTAATTAAATATACCGGCTAAAGAAGTGTAAAACTCAGGAAAGGTAATAATAAAACGGGCGATAGAATCGAACCATATTTTACACGAGGCTTACCAAATACCCATGGGTAACGACAGTAAAAAGAAATATTGTATATTAATATCGGCTTACCGCTAGTCCTCGTTTCCGTGGCGTGGTAGAAAAGTTGTGAGTAATGACTTGCACAGAGGGCATAGCACCATCAGGCGTTGACAGGATTGCAGGGCCTCGGCACGCGCGCTGCTGAGCCGGTCGAGCAGCTCCACCTCCTAGCAGCCACATGGTCGATATAACATTAGACTCTGGAACAAACAAGACTTTCATTCGTCCAGTTCCGAAATCTTTTAATGGTTCGTGTTAGGCAGTAGACATCTCCTATAGTCATAATTACAACGATTTTGAATTACAAATTATTTTTAAGGTAGGACGAAAAGCTGTCAACTTAAATTTTGAATATCAAAAAGTTACAGATAAATCGAGACACAGGCAACTTGTTTGAACTTGTTACTCAATTCATAATTAACATCACATTCATTCTATTATTACAAGTAAACACGAATCGAACACTGACTGCTCCCCACCAGCTCAACGAAAAACAAAACATGATGATGATCAAATACGTTGATAAGCCGTTTACTTTAATTACTAGTACAAAAAAACAGCAGTGACCCATGAAGACCCATTATACAGCAACTTCAGATAAAATTATGTCCATCAGTGGACTATGAAACACCAAAGTTAGCAGAAATTAAGATATATACCGGGCAAAGTGCCAAATTCGGGCAGTAACTAAAAAATATTTTCGCCAAAAGTATCATAACGTAATTTATTTTATGTATTTTATGAGTGTATTAATATAAGATAGTATTTATCTAACTTTTACTAATACTAATAACTGTTTTCCTTTTGAGTGAGGAGTTGAGGACATTGAACAAGGCGTAGAACATATAAACCCGTTTTTTTGTTTGAAAATTATGTTCTGTGAACTAGGTATTTGGTTGCATAATATAAAAGTGAGCAAAAAATCATACTGTCTTGTAGGACGCAGTAGCGATTTCTTGCGTACTTGAATAGTTCATTAGGTGAGCAATTATATTATGTAACAAGAATGCCAAACTTATGTAGTGATATTTTTCCACATAAAAGCTCATCAGATATTTTGAAGTTTTTACAAAAACGTATAGTGAAAAATTTGGGTATTCTGTTATGTTTCTTCTTCTACTTAATTTTTTACAATGTGACCAGTAATGAGCTCCAAAAAATATTTTTAACGATTAACAAAGTTTGGGACAATATGCAGACCAAAGGTGAAAACTTAATGACATAAATTAAACGACGATGTTCACGTGTCAACGTTGTTTCAAAATTCTACTAATAAATATTTTGACATCCCTATCGAGCGACTAACCGCCAAATTCTACCCACAAGTGAGACTCTAGTGGATTGACAACAAATTACAAGAACCGACCAATTAAATTATTGCTTCCATATAATAATTACATTTAAGGTCAAAGTCCTCTGCCAACGCATAACTATTATGACGTAAGCATACCTATATGAATATTCATTTAAAATAGTATTTACTTAATTGTTAGGTACACGTTTACGACCGAACAGTACCTACATACGTACGTGCCCGAGCCAATTACAGGAGTCCTAAGGACAAAATACACGCGACATTTGTTTTCGCTAGCAGCTATAGAAATTAATCAATTTACGGCGCAATTTGACGTGGCTTATCAAGCATCGCTCATCGGGAAATGGTACCACGCCTTCAAGTCTGAGCAAGCTACCGGCCATCGTAATTATAGAGTCGTTGATTACTAGAAAAGAATGCATCACTAAAGCTGCACCCACTCCCCAAGTAAATGTCAAGTTATTGGAAAATTTCTTGAAGTTCTTTAAGGAGAGCCAATTCAATATGCTAATGACTCTGTTGTACCTAATTATGTTAAGAGTTTCACAGAAAATAATATATTCATCAATCATTCTCTAATCTGTAAAATGACTCCACTTATTGGCATTTTCTGCTGGACAGGTTTCATATTTCTAATGGTTGGATAAAAACATTTTCTAATTCATTTTAACATTTTAAGTCTTTAGAGCAGAATTGAAATCAATTGACTAGTTTTTATTTTAACATTTGCCCCATATACCGGATTACTTCTTTGACTTGACAGCCCCCTATTATTTTCTTCTATTTAAATCCTTTAGCGTAAGCATCATTGGCGTTGTTGCCTGATGCCTTAACTTGAACATTGGTATCATTACGCACACCAAGCGTAAATTATGGTAAATCCTCTTGTGTAGAAAAAACCCTAGAATGTCACTGGCTGTGAATGATGAAATAATAGTCTCTCAACTCTGCAATCTTTGTTCTACTTCTTTCCGACCATATCTTATAGTGTTTTACAAAATGTTTATGCAAAATGAGTAGTGTTAGCAAATTGCATAAAATAATACTATCGCTCAATACAATGTTAGCTTGAAACCCTCCATTATAACTTTAATTGACTTGCTACCGACGACCAATATATGACCAAACCATTTTTAATATTGTATGACCCGTTGCCCTCAGAGGTAATTGGGTACACAAACAGACCTTTGTTTTGATACACAAGACTTGGTTATTAAACTTTGTATGGCCAAACATTGTGTGTCCAATATCTAAGTCGTAGTAACAGTTCTTAGTGCTCATGCCAAACAGTTTCATAGCAATCAGCCTTGGAGACGTACATGCGTCCGTTTACTTTTGATATCTAGGTACAAAACAAATGACAAAATTGTGGTTGTCTTGCCATTATTCTGTCTAGAGTTGGGTGCAAGACTAATTTATTTGTTGGAGACGTATGACAATGGTGTTGTTGCTTCCTAAAAGGTTTTTATTAAAAGTATCCAAACTAATTTACCTGAGTTGTGGATCTAGCTGGAGGTTTTGTCGCCGTCAGTACTAGCTTACATCACTAACCCACTACATTGATAACTCAGGATCCTTATTCAATACCAAGCACTGTTTAAAAACAGTATTAAAAAAAATAAACCCAGTAACCCATTTATTTTATGTATGAATCTATGAAGGTCTTGCAAAAATACCAATCTATTTGATTCATTTTACAGCTTTGTTCATCTGAACAACTATCTAGTCTTATTACTGGAATCGAGAACTATACGACTAAAGAAGCTAATCTTCAGAATAAGGTATTGTTACATATTAGAAATAAAACCGTTTCAATGAAAGTATCTAATTTATTTACCTCTATAATCAACTCATCACCATAGAGGGCAGGCATATAAACATATTATTGTGAAAACACCATGAAAACATCAGAACACTGCAGTCCGGCGCGTCTCCAAAAGACATGAATAATTTCCACTTTCCATTCAATAATATAGCTTACTTAATAGATTTCAGATGTTGAAAAAATAAACTAGACTTCTGCTATTAGTAACAAGTGGGAGTTTAATGCTAGTACGGTATACGGTTCTTTATGAAGACCAATCTCATCACCGATAAAAAGTAATGCATGCAAATTACAAATAGGCTAAAAAATATACCTAGATAAACATATTGATATAGTATTCTTCTTAATCACAGGTCGAATTAAAAACCGAAGAACTGTGGAGGACTCTAAACCAAACGTCGTCAGGCAATGGCGCCAAGAAAAATAATATTTCTGTGATGGATAACCCGCAGGAGTTGGACGTCCAAAGGATCAAAGAGTCCATCAGGCACGCCCAGGAGCTCCACGAACAAAAGCTGCGTCATAACGAGGAGCGGCACAAAGTGGAAATGAAAAAGTTGGAATAGGATTGTTAAAAAAATCAAACGAATCACTGTAATAACATAAATAATGTGTAGATTTTCTTCCCGTATTTTACCTAGGCTTCAGTAATCTTGACTATTCTACCGACTTGTTGAGTCTGAGGTACCGCACTATAAGCATGTACGCGATGAAATTCTGGAAAATCATTGACAGGACTATTGTAGCCAATAAACCTGATATAGTGGAGATAGACCGACAAGTGTGCCGCACGATGATAATCGATATCGATGTGTTGTTTAAAGTGTTTAAAATATAATCTTAGAGCATTTTAAATAAATGTATGTAAATATAAAAATAAAAGTCATCACCTTATGTCCAAATTTTTTATTTATCTATACATATAATAAAACTATAGAATTATAAATTCTCTACATTGAAAATATTAATAAAAACCGGCCAAGTGCGAGTCGGACTCGCGCACCGAGGGTTCCGTACAAACCTGCACGGTTTACAAAGTTCGTTCATTACGACAATCGAGTCATAACTATGGTATTTTTATTGTATGTAACTTAAAATTTATGGTTTTCGTAATTTTTCCTTTATCTATGCTATAAGACGTTGCTTCGTACCAAATTTCAAGATTCTGAGTTCACGGGAAGCACCCTGTAGGTTTTGATTCCCTTGCAAGTGTCGAAAATTTACGGCATAAACGGCTGTATCTTTTTATTGCGTTGGAAAAACAGTCAGAGACCGAAAAAAAAATAACCTTAAAGGACACTAAAAAATACAGTCTGGAGCTGAATAGTTCCAGTTGACGGCGCCCGTTCACGAATATGACACGTACACCAGCACCGCCCAACTCAACCATATTATAGGGAATCGAGCGATCCACAGCACGTGTCACCGCCAATGAGACCTTTGAGTGAGTATCACAACTCCAAGCTGACACTAACGTATTCTACTAGTCTAATTTAATATTTAATACATAATTACGGGGCTCTCACATTTACAATGATTATGTAAGTTAAACAATATACCTCTACAAATGAGTAATATAGGTATATTAAACTGTCAAATACCAAGCGGTCACCGGTGACCGCAACCTATTGTTCTATAATTGTGTCTGCAAAACCGGTACTCGACGAGTTAATTACATGTCTGGATTTCATTCAACAATCAATGTTTTTCGTTATCCTGTGGAGCCGGACTAGCTTGCATCCAAGCATTTTTATCCTCTAATAATCATTAATTTTGTAATATGTTAATAATACTTACTGACGTAGCCTATTAAAATAACTGCTGATTAATTGTAATACCCACTGTGTAGACTATATTTTCGTCTTCATTGGACAATTCATCACTATCCTCATTCATATATGGCCCCAGTGGTTGCATAGGATCCTGATACTTTTTACATATATTGTGCGCTACAGCAGTAGCTACTATGATAGGCTGGATTCTATTTTCATGGACAGGACAGGAAATCTTTTCCAACATCCAAAAATCCCTTTCTTTGAG